TCGAAGGCATTCGATAAAGTAAGTCATACTAAGCTTCTTCATCGACTACGCGAATTTGGGTTTCGAGGAAACATCCTGAACTGGTTCTCATCGTATCTCGGTAATCGTCGTCAGCAAACAACGGTTCATGGAGCAACATCAAGACCTTTAGCCGTAACATCCGGAGTGCCGCAAGGTTCGATATTTGGCCCATTGTTGTTCCTATTGTACGAAAACCACCTCCCTAACACCGTGAACAATTCAACTATAGCCACCTTTGCGGATGATACGAAGATCTTCAGAACCATAAGCTCCACATCCGATGCATCCTCGCTACAGGAAGACCTTACGAACTTTGAAGTGTGCTCCAGCAATGTCAACCTGGAACTTAACGCTGAAAAGTGCAAAATTCTAAGAATTACCCGAAAGCAGAAGAAGATAGAATACCCTTACAAGCTTCATAACAATGTCTTAGAAAGCACCGAGTTTGAACGTGATTTGGGAGTCTGGACTACATCTAACCTTACCTGGTCAAAACATGTTGAATGTCAATGCACACAAGCAAGTAAGATGTTAGGATATATAAGAAGATCAACACTTGACAACTATCTCCGTTCGTCGCACCCTATATTTGTCCCTTGTCCGTTCCCAACTATGCTATGGCTCTCACGTCTGGGCTCCCCAATCAGTCAACTTGATCAAGCGCACGGAAAGAGTACAAAGGCGAACAACCAAGTACATTCTGGATCTTCCTTTCTTCTGTGAGGTCAGTTACAACCAGAGACTTGATATGCTAGATATGATTCCTGTATGTTACTGGCACGAATTTCTTGATATGATTTTCTTCTTCAAATGCACTCATGAGATGATAGTCATTAACAACGACCTACTACCAACAATCCAGAATAGAGAAAGAGCTACAAGATTGCTGATCCGAACTGTTTGATGTTTACAACAAAAAAATGCAAGACCACAACATACCAGAAGTCATTCCTGACGAGAGTGTGGAACATTTTACCAAAAGACTTGACAGATAAAAACACTACATTTAACGGATTTAAAAACAGACTTCTCAAACACTATAAATCTGCCTTACGAAATGTTTACAACGCAGAGGATCCTCGAACTTGGAAATCTATATGTTTGTCTATTTACGTCTCATAACCTGTCTTGTCCCATATCGTGCTGTTGTTAGTTTTTGGGGGAAGAAGCAGAATTCTCTGTCAGTCTGTGAACTGTGTTTAAAACCAGCTTGAATATTAAACAACGATTAAAATATAAATATTCTGCATGGTACGAATTTAGTAAGCTTGAATATACAGAAATTTTTGTATAAGGAGAAATTGGTGGGGTATTCTGCTTTTAACCCCCGATATTTTAAAGTTTGTTTGTCTTGTATTGTGTAAAGGGTCGCTGTAATTGGCGAAAGTTGTAGCGTATACCCAGCCATGTCACTGTATGTATCGTTTATGTTAATGTATGTATAGCAAGTGATTTTAAGTTGATTTGGCAAAGCCTAATAAATAAATAAATAAGAGACACGACTCGCGAGAAATTGCGCAGAGCAACTGCTGCGTGTTCAGACATGCAGACCCTGGAACATCACATTATCCACGGTTGACCTCCAACAAAGCAGCAGTTACCTAAACAACTCCAATATTTTTGGAACTTTAGAGATGAACTCACCATCGCTGATAGCTTCATACTCAAGTCGACCCGCATCGTCGTTCCAGTGTCGTTGAGAGCCGAGACATTAGAGGGGTTAAGATACCCCGGTTTACGGGTACGGGTGATATACCCGTACCCGTAAGTCGGGGAACGACTTGTAACTTAAGAAATCCAAGATATTCCGGCGTGAGAAAGCCTATCAGAGAATGGCAACTTTCGCTGTTGAAGTTCGCCATAGATTGTTGAAAACTTTGACGAGCATATGTTCATTATTTATTTGGGTAAGATGTTGAAACTTTTTACTATTTAAACGGCCCACAAATAGTAAACAGAAATCACCCGTACCCGTTTGTCTTTTACGTGTAGACCATGGTTTACCGCGGGGAAACGGGTAGAAATTACGGGTAAAAATGCTGACATCAGCAAAAATTGGTAAAGAAAATGGCGCTACTCGTACCCGTAAACCGGAACCGGGGTATCTTAACCTCTCTATTATACATGTTCGATTCGCCTGCCTCCCCCTCTACCCTCCCCACAGCGCCGGTTTTACACAGTGGCAGATGCGGCATATGCCACGGGCCCCGCGCCTCCAGGGCCCCGCGATTTAGGCTAGAAGTATATGATGCTATATTATTAATTATTATTTATATTTTTAGCCTAGCGGGGCCCCTTACTCCTAGGTGGCGTGGGGCCCTTTAATGTACTTGCCAAATGCCACTAGATCCATCACTGGATAAATTAGTTAGCAGCGGAGCTTTGATGTATTTGAGGACAGTATTTAGGGGCGGACCATTAGAAATCCCGGGAGGGGGGGGGTATAAAATTTTTGCGGCACGATTTTTTTTTCAAGTCTCATATCTCTGCAGGTTCGGGTGTACAATCACCGGAGGTTCGGATGTACAAGCTCATATTAGAAAACAAACTAGAAACAGTATTTCCAAATATAGAAGTCGCACTTCGTATTTATCTTTCTCTTATGATATCTAATTGCTCTGTAGATAATTTAAGACATTATTGACATTACAGATAGTTATTGAGACTTATATAAAGTATTGCGAACAGAAGAGCCCGCGGGCGCTGGGATCGGGGGCTCAGAGATAAGAGAAAAACAAAACAGTGAGAGATTTTGTAAATCAAATGTGAGAGTTTCAATGAATTTAAGTTTAAAATAAACAGTTTTGTCGAGTAGAAATATACGTTTCCGACAAAGTGGCGACCCCGAGCAGGATTTTAGCCGAAAATCACAACGAGAGAGCGAGAAATAACAGCGTGAGTAATCAATAAAAACATCGAAAATTCGTGAGATATCGCCGCCATCTTGAAAATGTCAACTACCAACAAAGTAGAAGAGCTACTAAAACAAATCGATGGGAAACTTCGTATGCTAAAATTTACACAAGAAGATACAGCAAGAGTACTGGAAGATCATAAGATAAAAGCAATGGAACGTCATACAAGGGTTTTCGAAGAATTAATCGAACAGACTCATAAGCTTAAAATCGAAGTTCAACAAATCAGAATTGAGAAGGGAGATACAGCAGAGGAAGTGAGGGAATGGAGTCTTGATATCGAGAGCAAAGTTTCAGGTTTCGAAGAGGTAGCCGACGAGATAAAAGAGACTATTACGAGAGAACATACTAAAGTCAAAAACGAGGAAGAGGAAATCGAAAAGGAAAAACGAAGGTTACATTTCGAAGAAGAGCTTAAATTTGAAGAGACCAAATTAGAAATGAAGCAGGAGTATGAGAAAAAGATGGAGGAAGCACGCATGAAATCTGCTACAAGAAGTAACAATGCTAAACTTCCTAAACTAGTAATTACTAAATTCCAAGGCACACACCTAGACTGGCAAAGATTCTGGGGCCAGTTTGAGACAGAGATAGACAAAGCCGAGATAAGCCAAATTGCAAAACTATCATATCTGAAAGAACTCCTTGTTTCAAAAGCACGTACATACATTGATGGACTTCCCTTCACCATAGAGGGGTACGAACGAGCTAAGACCATCCTCAAAACAAAGTATGGGAAAACAAGTGAGGTAGCTAATGCCCACATGCAAAGTATTGTATCATTGCCTGTCGTTAAAGGGACACAACCCAAGAAGATACATGAGTTTTTTGAGTCGTTAGTCACGAACACCCAAGCCCTTGAAACTATGGGTAAACTCAGTCAAGTACATGGGTTTGTCAGACCAACCCTTGACAAACTCCCTGGGATTCGAGCCGACTTAGTAAGATTGGATGATGAGTGGCAGGATTGGGGTTTCACTCAACTGGTAGAGGCCCTGAGAAAATGGTGTGAAAGAAATCCAATCGTAATCGAAGAGAAGCCTGATCACGGAGGAAGTGACACTGGGGGCTCAAAAGTCAAATCTGGTAGATTCTTCCAAGTCAACCAACAACAATGGAAGCCAAAGCCCTGTGTATACTGCAATTCAGACCAACATAAATCTGTAGTTTGTGATAAGATAGTAGATGTGGCTTCTAGGAAGAAAGAACTAGCAGCGAAAAAACGTTGCTTCAATTGTACAGGTCTGAAGCACCGGGCTTCAGAATGTCGAAGTTTAGCTACCTGTCTGAAGTGCAAGGCTAAACACCACACATCAATATGTGATCAAGTACAACAACAACAACAAATGATGCTTGCAACTGCCAATGGCAGAGTCATGTATCCAGTGGTAGTTGTAATAGTCGATGGTGTAAAATGTAGAGCGTTGCTGGATACGGGGGCTGGGAGCTCTTACATCTCAGCTGGTTTGGTTAAGCTCCTTCGCAAGAAACCCAACAAAACCGAGTACAAGAGAATTGATATGATGTTATGTTCTACCAGTCAGAAGATAGAGAGTTACAATGTGAAGGTCTCCAATGTTCAAGGAACTTTCGAAATGAATATTCAAGCAAGCAAAGTTGACAAGGGGGTACTGTTGTCTATACCAAACCCACATTACAGTAAAATCATCAGTCAGTATGAGCATTTGAAAGAAGTGTCAATGGACGATAATGACACTAAACCAGAATTACCTATTTCTATGATATTGGGAGCTAGTGATTTCTCGAGAATAAAGACCAACACACAACCCAAGCTCGGACAGCCCGGAGAGCCTGTTGGAGAACTCACGACACTCGTTGGACTATTATGGCAGCTGGCGAAGAAGCAGATCTCAGCAGTGTGTACTTCACCAAATCTTCAGCAGCAAATTACGAACAGCTATGCAGCCTGGATGTACTTGGCCTCCAAGATCAACCCAACGAAAGCCAACAATCGGTGTACCAAGACTTCAAGCAACAACTACGACGCAGCGAGGATGGCTGGTACGAAACCGGGTTACTATGGAAACCTAGACATGACGAGCCTTTACCAACCAACGAATCCAACAGTTTGGGACGGTTGAATAATTTACTGAAGAAATTGCAACGCGATCCAGAAATGCTTGACCAGTACCACAAAATCATCCAAGATCAGTTGAAGGAAGGGATTGTTGAGAAAGTAACCGATGATCCCGTGAAGAATGCGTATTACATTCCACACAAACCTGTCATCAGGAAGGCAGCGGAATCTACTAAGATACGGATTGTCTACGACGCATCTGCTAAGGCCTCGGAGAGCAGTCCATCGTTGAACGATTGCTTGGAGACAGGTCCTCCCCTCCAGAACTTGTTGTGGGATGTACTTGTCAGAAATCGCCTGAAACCCGTAGCCTTGTCTGCAGATATCAAACAAGCATTCCTACAAGTAAGAATTCGGCCTGAGGATAGAGATTCGCTCAGGTTTCACTGGATTAAGGACAAAGAGACGTTGACAATTGAAGTCCTGCGATTCACTCGCGTGCTCTTTGGTCTTGTGCAATCACCATTCTTGTTAGGAGCAACAATCCAACAGCATTTGGAAGTTATACGCGAAAAATATCCGTCGGAAGTTGAAGAGATAATGCGAAGCCTCTATGTTGATGACATTATCTCAGGTGGAGAAACCAGAGACGGTGTACACAAATTGAAAGGAACGGTGAAGGAGATATTTGGACAGGCAAAATTTGACCTACACAAATGGCATTCTAACGTGTGTGAACTGGAGGAAAACGACGAGCAAACACCTACCGTTCAGAGTTATGCAAAAGATCAACTTGGAGTGAAACCAGGTGAAACCAAAATGCTTGGACTTCCATGGGATAAAGTGGAAGACACAATTTCAATATCCTTTCCCCAGAAAACAGCAGCGACTACCAAAAGGGAGATATTACGCTTCCTTGCCTCAATCTACGACCCTCTGGGACTTGCCTCACCCGTCGCACTCGTAGGGAAGCTCATTTACAGAGAGGTGTGTGATCAAAAGTTGCCGTGGGATAAGGAGATACCTCAACAACTGTCGACTCGTTGGCAGAAGTTTCAGCAAAACCTTCCCGAGGAACTAGATTTCCCACGAAGCCTGACCAGCCTTGAGGAGCCAATCGAAGCCGTAGATCTACATACGTTCGGAGATTCCAGCAAAGACGGAACATCAGCAACTGTGTACGCTGTGGTACATCAAAAGTCTGGCATCAGCCAAGGATTGATCGCAGCAAAATCCAGATTGGCGAAGAAAGAGTTGACCATCCCGCGACTTGAACTTGTTTCAGCACATATGGCAACTAACTTGGTCGAGAATGCAAGAAATGCGCTTGATGGATACCCTGTCAGATCAGTCACCGGATGGTTGGACAGTACAGTGGCCCTGTACTGGATCAAAGGACATGGCGCCTACAAGCAATTTGTTTCAAACAGAGTCAAGAAGATTAACGCCAAGGAATATATCAATTGGAGACATGTGAGAACGGATGAGAACCCAGCCGACCTGGGAAGCCGAGGATGTACGACAGCGAAGTTACCAGAATCTTGGTTAACAGGACCAGATTGGCTGTCAAAACCCGATGAATGGCCAGCTGACATACATAACAAGCCTAGCAAAGAGTCTGAAACTGAATCGAAGCCTATCAAGGAACTGTTGGTAACCGCTGTGTGTGCGATGGATGATCTGGACGAGCTATTAGAGAATCGTAGCTTTTGGAAGGCAGTGCGTGTCTTCGCGTGGATCGTCAGATTTATCTGCAATTGCAAGTTTTCTAAGGCTGAACGGACATATGGGCCTTTAACGACAGCTGAAACGGAAGCACGAGTTCAGTTCTGGGTGAAAAGAGCGACCGAAGCACACAGTGAAACGGAACAGTTCAAAGAAGATAAGTTGAAGCTGAACCTACAACGAAATCCTGATGACCTTTACGAATGCCGTGGAAGAATTCAAGGAAACTTCCCGATATATCTACCTCCAAATGCGCTCACTACTACAAAAATCATTCACAACGCCCATGTTCAAAGCCTTCACGGGGGAGTGGGATCAACAATGGCCTACACGAGACAAAAATACTGGGTACCTCGGCTGAGACAGCTAAGCAAGAAAGTCATAAGGAACTGTTATGGCTGCAAGAAGTTCCATACTTCCACATTTCATCACCCTCCTGTCGGACCCTTACCCACAGATCGAACAGTCGGATCAGTGCCATTCGAAGTCCTGGGCATAGACTACGCTGGTCCTATAACCTATAGATCTAGCAAGAAAAGAATTGGCAAAGCGTACATTCTCTTGTTCGCCTGCAGCCTAAACCCGTGCCATTTACCTGGAACTTCTTCCGGATCAGACGGCGGAAAATTGCATCAGGAGCTTGAAGCGGTTCGTAGCGAGAAGGGGCAGACCAAAGAAAATCTATTCGGATAACGGAAAGACCTTCAAAGCAGCAGCAAATTGGATAAGAAAGGTAATGAAACAAGAACAGTTTCAAAACTTCCTCGCCCGTCAAAATATCGTTTGGCAGTTCAACCTGAGCAGGGCTCCTTGGTGGGGAGGCCAGTTTGAGAGGATGGTGGGCCTGGTAAAAAGAGCACTATACAAGAGCATCGGACGTGCTAATTTGCAATGGGGAGAGCTTGAAGAGGTGATCCTGGATGTAGAAATAGCGGTTAACAATCAGCCTTTGGGCTATGTCGAGGACGATGTTCAATTTCCTACCCTAACGCCAAACTCAATGCTGTTTATGCAACCTAACCTACTTCCCGAAGAAGAAACTAGTGATGTCGAAGGCGTAGAGCTGAGGAAACGAGCAAGGCATTTATCGAAGTGCAAGGACGCAGTATGGTCTCGATGGACAAAAGACTACAGAAACGGACTGAGAGAACGGCACAATCTGAACAAGGGGAAAGAAGTAAGCATTAAAGTAGGAGATGTAGTTTTGATCCAAAACAACGAACGGAATCGTGGAAAGTGGAATGTCGGTATCGTATTTATGCTTATAAAAGGAAAGGACGGTGTAGTAAGAGCTGCGAAACTCAGAGCAGGGAAGTCCTATTTGGAACATGCCAATTCAGCAGTTAGCCCCAATGGAACTGACATGTGATAATCCGCCAGTAGGGCCAGAAGAGAAACAAGCAACCTTGAATGTGAAAGCGAGAGAGTTTCTACCGAAAAGACGAGCAGCTGCAGCCGCGGAGGAACGAATCAAAAGTATCGCTGAAGAAGATGAACTTGAACACTAATCGAACAGAACATACATTTGATTCCTTCGGAATCAAATGGGGGGAGAGTGTAGATAATTTTAGATATTATTGACATTACAGATGGTTATTAAGACTTATATAAAGTATTGCGAACAAAAGAGCCCGCGGCCGCTAGGATCGGGGGCTCAGGTATGAGAGAAAAACAAAACAGTGAGAGAATTTGTAAATCAAATGTGAGAGTTTCAATGAAATTAAGTTTAAAATAAACAGTTTTGTCGAGTAGAAATATACGTTTCCGACACTTAGAAGAAACTGCAATGATCATTGTATACTCTGTGCTTTTGTAAATGTTTAGGCTAAATCCCAACAAGATTCTTGTGAGGAAGAACTAGCAGATTTGCTGAAGGCATATGATATCAGCGAAGACAATATTGTAAGATTTGTGCAAGAAATGCAAAAGTTTGCAAATGGTAAGTTATAGTCATTGCATTTAGCAATTAGCGATAAGACCATATTTTCTTCATGCCACTTTTAAACATCCGAGAATACTTCCTGTTGTACTGTGCTCATTTTCGGTATTTCGACACTATAGTGTTCTACAGTACTTTACTATTAGTATGGTATTTACAATATTTTTTCTCTTTCAATTTAAGGCAAGGAAGATCCATCTTCACCTTTGTTGCCAGGTGAAGAGTATTTTATATTGACAAATTTTGAAAAAGACCAAGAACCATATATGGCTGGCAGCAGAAGAAGCATACAGTAAAATGTATCTGAAAAAGTGGAAAGAGTTGTTGCAACATCAAGGTGATGAAAATTACTTAACTTGCTTGACTTCAAAGGATATGGCCTTGCCAGTTGATCACAGGGCTGTTGTTGAAGAGAAAACTGGAATGTTTTTTGAAAGAGAAATGGAAAGCTGTTACTATGACATAGTGCATTATGGCCATAATATGAATAAACTTTTTTACTAAAAGTAATCATTAAATCCAAATATCTTATGTACCTTAATTATTAAAGCTCATATATCTTATAGATTCATCAAAACGGCGGACTAAAATAAGAAGGAAGATCTCTAATTTAAAACAAGAGATGATTTGTCTTCATGCGCAGTACTGCTATTTGCCACATGTCATACCTTTTCTCTTATCTGATGTTGAAGTTGGAACGTTTTTTTCTTCTTTTCTTTAAACAATATATAAACTTTACATTTGTTTCAAAAGCAGCTAGGGCTTATCGAGGAAACTTATGTAATTTAATATACAAAATTTTTTTAAAAAGAAAGGAGAATAGGAGAAAAAATACAGAACAGTTTGTTAAAACCTAACTATTATAACCATACAAATATATAACTTACACATGTAACACAGATATACAAACGCGCGTATATACAATATATATATATATATATATATATATATATATATATATATGAAGACGGCCTAAACACACAGGCATCAACATACATAAAGAGGAACACAATTTTGCAATGATTAATGAGAAAACCTATTAGTTTCAGCAATATATGTTTGAACTATTGTGAACAAATGACTATTTATACAAAAGGAATTACTTGGAATACCACTCAACATCCAGTTCAATTTAGTTCAATTGGATGCATTCGACCAAGTATTTCCTATTAACCAAGCGGCAGAGATAAGCAAAATGTTGCGAGGAGCAGTGTAACGGTTGCAATGTAGAAAAAAATGTTCGACTGTCTCATCTGATATTCCACAAGCACACAGTGGTGAGGGAACACAATTCATGCGATATGAGTTGTAATTTAGCACACTGTTGCCTAACCTTAATCTTGTATGGAGTACAGCTAGATAACGATTACCAAAATAGTACAGGCGATTATGAACAGGATACTTGTTCCATTTAATTACTCTTTTGTTAAACACAGCAAGATTTTGACAATTTCGAACTTCTACAGGCAGTAAATTCCATAATGTAATCACAGATGGTAGAAATGATTTTTTGTGCCGTTCAGTACGAGAGGGAGGTATACTAAGGTTATAATTAGTACGGAGGTTATAATTCGTCCTACTATTGTTAGTTATAGGACATAATTCGGATAAATATATTGGAATTAAGTTATTTAAAAGCTTGTACATCATAATCAATTTGTGATCTTTGTGTCTATTTTTTAAAGTAACCCATGACGTCTCACAAAGCAAATTTTCCCTATGCGTACCCTTCATAGCACCAGTAATAATCCTAGCCGTTTCAAACTGAAGACTTTCAAGATCAGAATCAGAGTCAAAACAGCCATCCCACACAACATCTGCATATTCTAAGGTGTTGAATGCACAAATGATTTATAAAGTGATTCAAGTGCCGACCTTCTTAATTTAAATTTAAGACCTTGTATCATATTAAATTTATTCGAAGCTTTTTGGTAAATTTTCCAAATATGAGAACTCCAGGAAAGATTACAAGTGAGAGTCACACCCAGAGGAGGAGTGGTCACTATTGTTCAGAAGGCGCTAGAATAGTGCGAGAGATTCGCGTGGCAGTCGTCATGCGAGGAACTGTCCTCGTGAAAAACCAGTTTGACCGGGTTCTGGGGAATTTACTTTGTTGTTGTTTTATCGAGGATTTTGATTGGGCGACTATTTTGAAAAGAACATTTAATATTATACTTTTCTTACTATTTTTTGTAAACCATTATTTTAAATACATTTTATTGAAAACTTCACAAGTTCTATCAATATCATGGCTACATTTATGGCGATCCTGCCGGGACATATGGCAAATTTGAAGGGAAATTTATCGATCGAAAAACGTGATTGAGTCGTGCGTGGTTTTGTGGACTTGTGTTAAACGTTAACAGTTATAGTATCGGACTCTGACTATCGTCGTAAAAATCAGAAAAAATGAGTGACAATGAGGAAGTTCAAGGACAGGAAAAGACGGTCGAGACAAGTGGAAGTTCAGCCAGTGCAAAGGATGATAAGCATGAAAGTTATGAAAGAATTCTCGAACTGAAACGTAACAAGAGGTAAAAAAAAACAGCGGTGACTAAAGTCTGACACAGTTTGGAAAGATTATGTGCAAAAAAAGGTGAGCTTGACATTCAATCAATAGAAGGGCAAATTGAAGGTTTATGGAGTTGCTAGAGCAAAGCATGAATGTTATGGATGAGCTCAGTCATGCTTATATGCAAATTGGTAAATATGACAGTAATGCAACAACGAATACAGAGGCAGAAAATTTTGAATCTGAAACATTACCAGCAATTGAAAGGGCGGAGGGTGCAATTAACAAATTTTTGCAAGTAAAATCAAAACAAGCAAGTGAACCAGTCAGTATTGTAAACACTCAACACACACCAACAAGTCAACAGAATTTGTTAGCAGCAAAAAGTAATACGGGAAATAACATTGGGGTATCAAAACATAAGCTTGACCCAGTTAAAGTGCCTGTGGTCGACAAAACATGTTTCAAGGACTTCTGGAAACTATTCAGTAGTTTAGTGGATAGCGGAAACGAGCCAGCCAATATCAAAATGGCCAGATTGCGTCAGAGTTTAAAAGGAACTGCACTTGAAGCGATTCGAGGGTTGGGGCTTTCTTTGCCTGAATACGAGGAGGCTAAGGAAATTCTGAAGACAAAGTTTGGGGGGCGAAGGCAACAATTGCAGGCTTATATGGATCAGCTAGAGGCAATGCCTTCCCTGAAGGGTAGTGATGTGCAGGGCTTTGAGAGATTCGCAGATCTTGTCCGGATAACCGTTGTTAAGTTGCAGGCAGAGGGTCGGGATGGAGAGTTGGGGGAAGGTATGTTGCATGGTTTGTTGGTCAAAAAGCTTGCAGAAAGACAGGTTGAAAGCTATAGTCTTTGGCTTAGGGAACATAAAAAGGAGAGGTCAGTGTTAAGCTTGAAGGATTGGTTGAAGGAAGAGATTAGGGTGAGAGTGGAAGCTGTGGAAATGGTTCATGGTGTTGAAGGTATGGATTTGTCATTGAAAAGGAATGAAGCTGGTGGGGGAAAGTTTAGATATGGCAATAGAGGTCGGTCCCGTACACTATTTGCTGCTCGTGGTGGAGTTGGTGGTGCATTGTGTGAGGGGAACCATGGTATATGGTCTTGCCAGTGGTTTCAGGATATGAAGGTTCAAGATAGATGGAATATAGCTAAAGTTAAGCACTTGTGCTTTCGCTGTCTTGGGAGTGACCACCAGGGAAAGGCATGCCTTAGGTCCAAAGCCTGTAAGACTGATGGTTGTACAAAGAATCACCATGCCCTGCTGCATGATTCTGCCCCACAAGTTAAACGCCCAGACGACAAGAATCCGGTTGTTCCACGGGAGGGGGAAACTGATTCCCGCACACATACAACAACGCATGATACCCCAGCCACTGAAGCACTCTCACTACGAACAATTTCGGTATGGTTGAAAGTGAACAATCGAAAGGTGAAAGTTAATGCGCTACTCGATGATGCGTCAAACGAGACGTTCCTTAATGCTGAGGTTGCAGGAGTGTTGGACATTCAAGAACCATTGCAAACAGTCAAAGTACACGTCCTGAATGACGAGATTGAAACATTTGAGTCTATGCCAGTAAATGTTACTATTGAGAGTGTCGACGGACAGTTTTGTAAGAAAATTAGTGTGAAGACCTGCCCCTCGAAAGGTTACGGGAAATTACAAGGTGGAAGACTGGAGTGCTAGCAAGGAAAGATGGGAACATTTAACACAATGTGATTTTGCAAAGCCGGCCATGATGGGATGGTGGATTTGCTTATTGGAACAGACAACGCGGATTTACACTACTGTGCAATACGGAGAAAAAGTTAAGGAAGGACAAATTTCTCGGAACGGAATATCAGAAAACAATCGAAGCATACATTGAAAAAGGGGTACCTGCGCCGTGTCAAGAGTGAGGAAGAGCTTCCATCCGAAGTGTGGTAACTTCCACACTTTCCTGTCGTAAGGATGGACAAGACCACCACGAAAGTGCGCATTGTTTTTGACTGTTCAGCGAAGTGTAACAGAGTTGCGTTAAACTATGTCATCTACGCGGGACCTAAGCTACAAAAGGAATTGATTGATGTACTTATTTGTTTTCATCGCAAACCTGTGGCGGTGGTGTGCGATGTTAGAGAAATGTACCTGCAAGTTGAGATGGAAGAGTACGATCGTCCGATGTTCTGGCTGTTGTGGCGTGACCTGGACAGTAACCGAGAACCAGAAGTCTACGAATTCAATCGTGTAGTATTTGGAAAAAACTCTGCACCGATGGAATCACAATTCGTGGCCCAAGAAAACACTAGAAGACATCAAGAGACGTACCCTATGGCTGCTGAGACCGTGCTGAAGTCCACGTATCGATAGTGTGGAGACGGATGAGGAGGGCATTGAGTTATACCAGCAACTGAGAGATCTTTGGAATTTGGCCGGTATGCAAGCGCGGAAGTGGATCTCAAATTCCCCGGCAGTCATCGCATCGACACCAAAGGAAGAGCTAGCAACTGAATTATCGATAAGTGACAGCCCAACTTCACCCGTCAAAACTCTTGGGCTCTTCTGGCATAACAGCGATGACCTGTTAACAATATCTTCACCTGGGTGTTCATCAGAAGTGTTGCTGACTAAGCGGAACGTATTGAAGACAATTGCAACAGTTTTTGATCCGCTTGGTCTGATCAGTCCTTTGTGGTTATAGCAAAATCCTTCTACAGGAGCTGTGGTCAAGGGGATATGACTGGGACAACGTCATCGCAGACGAAGTTGCCGATAAGATCGAGATGTGGTTTCGACAGCTGTTAGACCTGGAGAACGTGCGTGTACCAAGGTGTTTACGCGAAGCTAAGACAGTCCTGAGTCAATCTGTGATCACATTCGTCAACGCTTCCCTTAAGGCTTATGGAGCAGTCGTCTACTTAAAGTGCGAGTACGAAGATACCACCACTACCTGTCGGATGATCGCGTCCAAAACGAAGGTTGCACCATTGAAGCCAATGACGGTTCCAAAGCTAGAGTTGATGGGCGCTATACTAGGTTTGCGATTAACACAACGTCTCATTCCGATTCTTGAAATACCGATAAGTATGGTGATGTTTTACTCGGACAGCACAGATGTTTTGTGGTGGATTAGAGGCCACAGACAAGATTTTCGGTCATTCATCGCAAACCGCATTGGGGAAATACAAATGTCTAACGAGCCAGCGCAATGGCAACACGTGCGTACCGACAAAAATCCGGCGGACCTTTGCACAAGAGGAGCAACCCCCTCAGGATTATCAGATCATTGTTTATGGTGGAATGGACCAAAGTGGTTGCTAGAGGACAAATCGGGCTGGCCAAAGATGCAAATTGGAACCCGTCCTAATGAACTACCCGAAGCAAAACCCACCAGAAGAGCGACCAAGAATGAAACGGTTGCGACTGCGCCATTACCAACGCCCACTCGAAGTCAATGGTCTGGAGAGAAGTCAACGGTCTGGAGAGAAGTCAACGGTCTGGAGGCTTGATCCTAAACGGTATTCCAACTGGACACGATTGGTACGCGTGCTCGGGAGAGTTAGAAGATTTATCCATAACACGCAAAATTCAGAGACACGTGTGAGGTTACTCTTTCTATTGGTACCTTAAAACATAAATAACCCCCTGAAACCGATGAGTAATCGTTGTTTGAAAATGGGGTATTTTTGCTTTTGTCATCACCAATCACGGGAAAAGAAGATTTTACAGGTAATATAAACAAGCCAGCTTTTCTAACTTATTCGAGTTTATTGGAGCAAAAAATGGAATCTATTAATAATGATGGCAATGTTGGCATTGTTGATCATGAGTTAGAAAATGAGGAAACTCAAATTACGCCAGGAATATATCTTGTGTGGAAAGTTCATTATTCAGTCGAGCTTTGTTTCAAAGTCCTGGCACATCAGCAAAGGTATAATAAAAACAATTATGGTAGATGAAATTGTACTTAAAACTTCGTTATTCTTTGCTATTCTATTCTTATAAATTGTCTTTGTATATTCAGTGTAAAGCTGGAGTAAATACGAGCAACAAAACTGCTGCAACTTGCAACTAAAAATCTGATTTCAACGCATGTTAAGTAGAAATGTTGACACATGTTGCCTCGTGATTTGTATTAACTTATATGTCAACATTTCCACTTAACATCCGTTGAAGTCTGATTTTGTTGCAAGCTGCAGCAATTTTGTTGACCATATTACTCCACCTTAATACCTCTGTGTAACATTATTCTGCAGTGTAACATTATGATTCATTTATGATTATTCATATGTCATATGTGACTCAAAGATTTTTCCCTTGTAAATTTATTGATTGTAGATCACAGTTACATCCAGTTTGCCCTTGTGAATTTATTGGTGACAGCACACTGTCCAAATCTTCATTAACAGTATCTGGACCCAGGGGCGGACCCAGGGGCGGATCCAGGGGGTGGCAAGCGTGGCTTGAGCCACGGTCAGATTTATGAGATCGTCATATTCTCTAACATGTCTATAAGGACGAAGCGATCGTTATTTATACATATAAACGCATCCCAAACCTTTTAAATTTAAACAAATATATACTCCCATCGTTACATCTTACTGTTATTTGATTTTCAACAAAATCGCGAAATAAAAACGTAAATATCTCAAAAGATGTAATTCCTGAGCTGTAAAAGGTCCAAAACCTTGGGAAAACCCCTCAAAAATGCCTGTGGAGGATGTAGGGAAAACCCCTCACCTGCTGAATGTTGATTGTTTGCTACGACAATAACCGAGAACTACTCGAAGTTGATCATTCTAAGTTCGTAAAATGTTCGTAAAATGCGACTGCGATTTTGAGCCACGGTCCGCGGTTCTGATGTTACTAAATATAGTAACTTCTTGCCACTTTGAGCCACGGTGCAGCATGTCAAGCCAATCACAGGCCGAGATTTTATCATGTGAGCCACGGTGGCCATGTTTTTGTTGTGCAATATTATGGAAATGGCTTAAATCGGTAATTGTTCGGAAACTTCTCACCATGCATTGTTCGACATGCCTTCTAGGACGAAGTTTAGTGAAATTTTTTGGCGCTTAAACTCTTAAGAAGACGTTTCGAACGAGATTTTGTTGTTGAATCAAGATTGTGGTCGGGAAGACAGCAAGCGAAGTTGGAATAGAAAACATATACGAACATCCAGAAAGATAGACCTGCGCTTATATTATTGGCTTTCCTATTAAAATATTATACTAATACCTGCAAGGTGAGACTGAATCTAAATTCTGATATTTAGAACTTTTATGCAAAGTGCATAGGCCTATATGTAAATTTATTCTGATCGAATATATTACAGCGAAATATTAGCAATGTTTTATTTATGCAGTCGATTCAGTATATATTAATTAATTTAATTTCTTAATTTATGATAAAGTTACAATGTGAAATAATATTACATGTAACTGCCTGGTTGGTATATTAAATTGTGAATGTTAATAGATCCGTATAACAATTTGTTAACGGCAATTATACCGTTTGTTGACATGTATGCATTAGTTATATGGCGCCTATATATACTGGCAATGCAATATGTTTACAAATTCAAGGTTACTTTATTTGTAAATATTTTGATGATATTATGTAGTATAGTGGCATATGTTTTATTTATATATTGAATATCCTTATTATTCTGTCAAATAATAGTGGATAGAATTAGGATGTGTTTATATGGAACTATGGAAGTGAGCCATCTTCATATTGAGATGATCTTTAAAATTCAGGTTCTCAGTCAGCAAATCTTTTGTCAACAAATATTTCTTCTGCTGGGGGGTGATGACTAGATGAGTAACATGCAAAAGACATGGAAGCATAACTTGCGAAAACCGATTATGTGCAAGCCCACTCATTTGAATCCATCAGGATGAGAAAATCATGATGAACAAAATCACTAACTGTGAATCAGGCTTTAGGCAGGTTGTCAAGCAAAAAGTCCCATTATGGAGCAACATAACATTGAGCCATTAAACACTTGAAAGCATGTTGCAACCACACTGTTACACTCATGAGCATTTAAACAATCATGGAAATGGAGGAAATGTCATGTAAGACTACAGCTAAATTACTGATATAAATATTCTTATTATCGGTGCATACATGGTGGGCAGTTACCCCCTCCCCCAAATAATTCCTGAAAGTCATTGAATGGTGGCTGAATAACTACATGTGTAACAAAGCTGTAAAAATTAATAATTTTACTATTTTTATATCTAATTGAAAGTTATAAATTGGTACGATATACATTAAGCAAATTTGCAAGAGATGTATATATAAGTTTAACCCATTGAGTAGCAGTGTACCCTAATGAGGCCTAAAGTGCCGTACTTTATTATTTTACTCTGTCTAACACCAAATGACTTTACTTGTCAAGGGGAGAGTGCTGGCTCTCAATAGGTTACAGAATTGAGATTTCTGACAACTGGGTGGTAATATGGTAGTCACCCACATCCTCCCCCATTGTCTTATATACCTGTTACTCAAACAACCATGTAGATATTGGCCATGCAAGCAAATGATAATGATAGTTCACTCAATTACTGTTGTCATAATACACACCCAAATACCACATTCTGTGCTACATTAATACTTTGTCTAGTTCTTGGGTAATTTTACTCATTATTGGAAAGACCTTGCACACTAATGGGTTAATTTAACATAGATTTCTTAAACTATGTTGTAAAAAAAGTGAAGTAACAATATGCAAATTAGGTAAATGCATGAATTAAGCATGCGTGAAAGGAATTTGTGCCAAAAATTATAGTTTCAGTGCCTATTTGAACAACTTAAAATTGAGCAAATTTTCTGATATTTGGACCATTAATAAAACACATAACAAATTTCTCGTCCATCAACTCAAAATGCATTTTAACCTTTTAAATTTCATGTGCAAGCTATTTTACAGTAATGCTGCTAAGAAAGACCCCCAGGCGTAAAAAAAAATACCTGTGGTTCCGGTTCCCGACCGACCCTATTTTTTCTGCCGACCCTATTATTTTTTCAACGTAATTGACTGTGCGACCCTTTTTTCTCCAGGTGGTTGCGGGCTGCTCATACAGCATGCCAAAATGGCGTCTGTTGTCACACTAATTATTGAACCAAATTGCCTAAATTCGTCCATAGAAAATACGCATCTCTAGTTAACATTGATGTGGGGACTCTGCTGCAAACCACCCAGCAAAAAATCGACAAAACCATGAAAAAATATTCAAAAAAAAAATTATTTCCGACCTACCAACCCTAATTTTTTCACGATATGAAACCGGCACCACAGGTATATATTTTTTTACGCCCCACTCCCCTGCTTTGGAAAATTTATCTTTACGAAAATTTCTTGTTCATTCTACATTATAAGTACCCAAACAATCTATGTTTATCAAATATTTAATGGCATGAACGGTTGGTGAAATTGAGAGCTGTTTCAAATTGTTTACTTTTTTTCTTATACACCCGTTGAGAATGGAGCGTTCACTTGGTTTAAAATTGCCTTTGCAAAGTGCTTGTCTGATACTGCCATGTCAGTTTTTGAAAATATGATCATACAGGGCACTTACTGAAGAAGCAATGCATAATGTGCATAATCACGAATTCACGTCGATGATGTTTACCTTAGCGACGGTAATTGGCTTACAATTCAATCATACTATCCTACCCATACTGTTGACATACTGATGGACATGCTTCACCGTCCATAGACTGAAATTTGAGGAGAAAATACGCCGCTCAGATTGCAGGAAATGGTGTTTCCGGGCTTCAAATTTCAAAAATTTTACGGGGGGCATGCCCACGGACCCCCCTAGTTAACCGTGATTTAGGAGCCACAGTCAGTTTCGGAGCTGGATCCGCCCCTGGGACCTTGAGGTTGAATTGTTTGAGAAGGTGGCAATGGCAGAATATCGAAATCCCACAAAATAACATTCCCTAAGATAAGAGATTGTCCTGTTCCATCTTGCCTTAGATCACTGAGGTCAGAGAACTGCAATACATGAAAACAATCTTCTGTGTAACCCTTTAAGTGTCAGTGCTCTCCCCTTGACAAGTAAAATCGTCTCATGTTAGACAGAGTAAAATATTAAAGTAGGGCGCATGAGGGCACAATGCGATTCAATGGGTTAACTAGACACATGGGCAGATAGGCCAGCTGCCATTAGACAGAGTAAAATAATCTGGCGTTAGACAGAGTGAAATAATAAAGTAGGGTGCATCAGCCTGAGGGCGCAATTAATGTGACTCCATGCAATTCAATGGGTTAATTACTTTAATAGTACGTACAAAATACCAAAGTAATCAAACCTCTATGATCAAACCAAATGAACAGTCTAGGCTTAAACTATTTTTAGCTATATATGCATATATTCATTGAAAATAGAAAGCACAAATTGCACAATATTGTTACTAACATTGGCTATAAAAATGTGAATCATACAAAAAGCAAACAGCATTGCGTAGATGCATTGCCTTTGTATTGGCTTTAAGGATTAAAACAAACGACTTACCCTAAAAACACAACTGGGATGTATCTATATACTCTATCAATGCTGGGCTATTGCAATCGGCGAAGATTTCATCAACTTTTAGAGACAAATATAGCGACTCTTCTGATGTGAATCCCACGGCATTGGAACTGAACACACGATAACCCATAGGAACCAACAGCATAGGCTCTTACGATACACAATGAACAAAAAGAAGACTGTGTCCTTCCAAAACTGAAGCTTTATGGCGGTGAATTGGCTTTACAAAATCTGCCGTATTTCTCACTCCTGTTGTTTTGACAGTGAAGGTCAAGCGAACAATAACCGCCCGCTTGTGGAAAATCAATAATATATAATTAATTGGAATAATCGCAATGCATCACGTTATTGTGACCACTCCTCCTCTGAGTCACACCTAAGTGATCATGTGATACAACGTCTTCAATAACATTGTTCAAACAATGTAAGTGGGGGATGAATTGGTTTGTTAATCTTACTTGAATTCGTTTTGTCTACATTCATTGTTACTAACCATTTGCCCAAGTGGCAATAGATTGTAAATCAGAATTCAGCTTGTGTGCTGAAATAGCAGGTGAAGTAACTTCATTTAATAATCAGTCATCTGCAAACAGAAAACAATCAGAAGAAATATCATCGGAAATATCATTAATATACACAAGAAAGAGGAGTGGACCAAGTACAGAACCTTGGGGCATTCCTGCTTCCGTTTTCCCCCAATCAGAGTTAGAACCATTCACAGATACACGCTGCTATTGATTGGTTAAATAACTTTCAAACCAAGAGTATAACAACCCACTAATTCCTATGCTTTTAAGTTTTGCCAATAAGCCCTTATGCCAGACTTTGTCAAAAGCTTTAGAGATATCCAGAAAAACAGCTCTAACTTTGTGGCCTTTCTCCATAGTGATATATATTTTGTTTACAATGTAAATTATAACTGCATTACAGTCATTTTTTCACAAATTTTTGACAGGCAAGATAGTAGAGATATAGGGTGATAATTAATTTTGTATTGGCAATTTTCACCCTTAAACAAACGTATAACATTAGCCAATTTCCAACAACTTGGATACTGGCCAAGAGAAAATGAAAGATTTATTAGTTTTGTGAGAGGTTTATAGAGGCCTTCACAACTACATTTGAGAATTCTATTACTAATACTGTCCTCACCACAGGCTTTCGAAATGTCCAAGTTACATAATAAATTGTATACAGTTAAATAGCGGTAATTGACAAAAGTAAACAAGTTGGATTTGGCAAGGTTGGAACAACACTTGAAACAGAAGTTGCAAGCTGAGTACAAAGTAATTGTTTAAGACTTCGGCTTTTTGCTTAGAGTCAGAATTAAATTCGCCATTATTTATAATTACTGGGATAGAAGGTGAGTATTTATTTTTATAAATTGATTTAGTAATATTCCACCATTTCTTTGACGATGTAGATGGGTTAGCAAGTAACCCGTTTATTTTATCGTTACAATCTTTTTTCCTCTTTAATTATAGTTACAACTAAATTAAATTACTTTGCCTTTGGTTGCGTTCCCATAAAGCAGAATTCCCGTAAAGCAGAATTCTTTGTTGATGAAAATTTCTTTAGAAATCTATCTCATTTACGTATATTTCGTCTAATCAAACTGTTCATCCAAGGTTTGTCTTTAGGTCTAATTGTAACTTGTTTACAAGGGATGTATAAGTCAACAATATTTTTGAATAATTGAAACCAATTCTCATATAAAACATCAATGTCGCTCGGGAATTGCCGAAAACATTGTCCCAATCTGCATTTGCTAATGACTCGATTAAGGCGGGAATATTTGTATTATTATATAAACGAATTGTCATTTTAAAAGCTTTTGGTTTAGAGAGATCAATATTAAATTTAGCATAGACAATATTATGATCACAATTAGCAGGAGGACTCAATGTACCAGACGACAAACAATATCCAGGCGAATCTGTGATGATAAGGTCTAGTAATGTTTTCAGACAAAGTAATGTGAGTCGGTTCATCGATTTATTGAGATAGATTATTACATTCAAGAAAATTAAAGAGTTTAACCCCCATGTCAGAGTTCGGAGTTGTAATATCGAAAAAGTTATAATGAGCATTAAAATCACCAAGGATGATAACAGCAAAAAAATTTTCTGTAGCAATTTCATCTAACATAGATTGAAAATGATGAAAAAATTCACACATGTCATGAGCAAGACTGATTTGGTGGTCTATAACAGACACCACAAATAAATTTAAGATTTTTAGCGACAAGTTCGACCCACTGTGTTTCTATGCTGTCACATTCTAAATCAAAGCACCTGGAGCACCAAAGATAATCCGCTACATATAAGGGCTACCCCACCTCCCCGTGATGTATGACAATCTTTTCCTAGCAGAGTGCTATAGCCTGGAATTAAAATTAAATTGCTGTCAATATTTGCATTAAGCCAAGTTTCAGAAAAGGCAATTCTTCTTTGCAAAACTTTGTGACTTCGTCATAGCAATTCTCGATTTGTTTCTCAGTGATACTGTAGATTTGTAAGTTATTTCGCCGAGAATACTGCTCGTTATCGTTAGCTTTGTTCTGTACTTCGTCCAGCCTTCGATTCAACTTGTTGAGATCTTCTTGCAAACATTTGTTCATATCTTCAAGCACATTGATTCTAGAGTCAATTAACTCCACAAATTCGTTTTTAAAACATTTGATTGCCGTTTCGACGGCAACATTTACTGCAGTGGACAGTATTTTTCTGAACGCTTCTGACTTGAAAAAGGCTTCCATTTTTTGTTAAGTTCAGTTGGAAACTCCTCAACCTTCAAACTTGAACGAGTCTTGGTTGTCATATCATTACGCTGAGATGAAAGAACTCGATCTTTTCAAGTGATAAATATTGTTGCGAAGACTTTGGATAGATTTAATGACTCTCCAAAAGCAATTGCTCAATTATTAATTACATGAGAGCTTTAGAAACGACTTTAAGAACTTTAATAATCAATTTAATTATTTGGACAAAGGAGAACAATGGTAAAGAGGTCAATATAGGTAGGAGGTACACTGTAGGTTTAATTGTCCAAATTTTAATTTCCCAAATTGCTTTGGGAATACATACCAATGCATAATAAATAAGAATGTCAAAAAATGCAATATGTAATTGTGGGCTTTGCAAAGAATCATTCATACTTAGTTTATTGTATTCTATTTTTGGTTTATAGCTCCTGTCTGCCACAAAGCTATAATAGTGGAGAAATATATGGAAAAATTTAGATTCAAAGAGGGAGTAACTTTGATGCAAAAGGAGATGGCAAACTTCATTTCTTTTTACACAGACCATATAATACCAAACTTGAAACCAAGGTTGGTAGAAAATATTCACATATGTGCAAAAGCTTGGTTAGAAAATAATTATGAGTAAATAGATCTTAGAAGTGCTTACATCAAGTCAGTGTGAAACAATTAATTGTAATGCGGGAAACATGTACGACAAAATATACCTAATGTTAATATATGCATGGATTTAAAACTGTGCAACGTAAGCACTACTGAGGTCTATTAACAAATTATTTGCGAAATACTTCCACAACATTGTATATAGAAATAAACTGTAAAGTTGCATTTTTTCCCCGACATTTTTAAAGTACCGCATATTTGTAATTTATCGTGAGACTACCACTGTAATACCCTGTGCTCCATCCAATATAACCTTTTCAAATTACTGTTTCCGGTGAAAAATAGCACAAATGCCTACAAATACCTAAAAATTCTAAAATTACTCGTATGCTATTAGCCAATGAGAAAACTAGAAGACAGTACGGTTTTTACCTGTCTGCAGTTAATATAATAGCTACTACAAATTACAGAATTAGTATGATAGTACAGTAATTTGTAACTTCTCAATGTTTAAATCTCTGGTATGTAACACATAATTTTTTCAACATCTGAACCCCATCTTTTTGCAAATACGGTTATTCTTCTAATTGTTACACAAATGTTTGCATATTTTGTGTGGAGTAATCAAATGTTAACATAAAATATTAACACTTATGATGCATGTTCCTTGGATTATTGCCAGAAGCAATCCAATGTCAATATTCCTTCCAGTTTGTAGCTCGCATCTTCTCAGACCACTTAAAGTCTTTATCACAGGTTTGGCAGTGAAAAAATCAATACAAAGATGAATGTTAAGGCGGGGAAATGATTTACATGCTTTAAAGTTCAGAGTCTCTCTACATGATCGTTTGCAATAAAGTATGAAAGTATTGTCACTGGTGTGCAGGAATTGCTTAAACAAATGCAAGGAAATTTGGGATATTTATAGTACCTCTGAAAGTGAAAATATTAACACAAGTAAGGTAAAAGTTCAATTGCTGTTTCACACTCAGCAATTGTAAGGTTATTCATACAGGTGCCATGTAGATATTGTGCAATGGACAAATTGTCTTCATTCTTTTTCTTTTGCACAGAGCTTGGCCTGTGGCAATTACTTGGTAGCTATACATCTTGTGCACAAAAAGCCTTACCATTTCTTCTAATGGATAGATAGAGCTCTTCTGCAATTAGGGGTTATATACACTTCTGGTTTCCAATGGTCTCCTTTACTACCTTTCTTGCCTCAGTTGATTTCATTATGGTCTTTGGTTCCCAATGTTTTTCTATCTCTGTCATTGCTTCATGTAATGTACCAGAACACTTTCTTGCAATAGGCTCTGGATCTACTGAAATATTCATTAGATTTGAAGACGTTTGTGTCCCATGCTCATTGTCATTTTTCTCACATGAGACTGACTGACTTGTCATTTTTCTCAATTTCCCTGTCAACATTGGGATTTAAGTTATTGTAATCCTCCCTTGACATTTTATGGATCTTTCTTAAATGTGGACCAAGTAACAACGTTTTCTGGCACAATTTGCACACTTCTTTCCTTTTATATTGCATGTATTTTGGTCTATTAGGTTCCACAGTTACTTTTAAATAGTCATGCTGTTTTTGTGAGAGTGTGTGTCCAACCTTTTCAGGTGGGTTGGTACCCACCTGAAAAGGTTGGACACACACTCTCACAAAAACTTTACAGATGCCATCATTTCTCTGTAACAAAAGGTTAATTCCAAGTGGTATTATTATCCATTTGTGTTAATTGTGGTATTATCCATTTGTGTTCCATTAATTCCAAGTGGTATTATCCATTTGGGTTGGTACCCACCTGAAAAGGTTGGACACACACTCTCACAAAAACTTTACAGATGCCATCATTTCTCTGTAACAAAAGGTTAATTCCAAGTGGTATTATCCATTTGTGTGATTATAAAGCTTATTATTAAAATAATATCATCAAATCCTTTGTTTTGTGAGTCCTTTGTTTTGCATTTAACATCTAAATAAACCTGTTCATGTTTCTTGTGATTTCTTACTTCACTTTTCCGTTAGATTTGAAGAAATTGCCATTTTTCTGGCTGAAAATCTTGCGAAATGATTCGGACAAGAACTTGCCTTGAACACTCTCGTTTGTTTTACACGACATTTAGGAAGGGAAACTCTTTAAAAACCTCTTCTTTTTCATCCTTAAAACTTGCAGCACAACCCCAGTTTTGGCACATCGCCATTGTCACAGGTTTTGTAAAAAGAAAGTTGTAAAATTGAAAATCTTCACCAAATTTTGATCAATTCTCTCGCATGATGCATCATTTGAAAGCCCAGATTTTGCACTTTATACTCATGACCACAATAAATATGCGCTAGACAATCGTGCCCAGAAGTTGACGTGTCATCCAGGGCGCAATGCGACTTACCCCATTCCCAATTCCAGGGTGCAATGCGGCTTAATAACAGAAATAGCTTTTCAATTACCTCTTTTACATTTTGATGGCAGGCAAATTCCGACTTTACATTTATTCTTTGTGACGATAATGATGAACCCTTCAAATTTCAAAATACTTAATCCCTTTTCCAGTAATATAGACATTTTAAATTCTTGCTTGAATCTTGTGAAAAAACGATTTCAGATACAACATTTTATACAAATCATTGTTTGTTTGTTTATACCAAGCCCGCGATTTTCTGATCATATATTATGCAGTACATATTGTTGATTTTATTATATATAATAGACTACATTGTATATACATTTGAACTTTAATAGATTACTCACAGTAATATAACTTTTTAACTTTTTACATTTCTTTCGCAGTGATTCAGGATTACACTAAGGTTACTCAGCCCCACAAGTACTTTCAAACAATTGCATTAAGCCTATCCTTGATGATGTGGCTACTTATATGTGATATTAAAAGACATTGCATAACAACACAATGAGACTATAAATTGAATCTGCATGCTCTTGCAGGTATAGTAAGTCAATGCAAACCGATAAATGGTTTATCATGGCAATATTACTGATCAAATGCGCACATACGTTCGCAAAGAAAAAGTATTCCTTATGAAAAATTTCAGAACCGGCTGGTGTTTTGAAATCAAATGTGTTTCGTATTTTAAATAACAGCAAAAAGCGATCAGTATCTGAGGAAACGGGCAGGGTGAAGGGCGAGAGGGCATGGAAACAGCAATACATCTCTTGGGACCATCCGTGATGGTTTACATTTAGCTAACTTTTGAAGGATTTTCTCACAAACTGTGATTCAGTATCACAGGATTTTACACTTTTCTGGAGATGGTTTGACTCTGTTAGTGGCATTTCTTTCATTGTTTATATATCTTGCTTCTAAACATTGCTCACTTATAAAATCTTTCCATTCTGTAATCTCATCCAATGATACTGAATCACAGTTTGTAAGGCCCCTTTTACACGAGACCGGGACGAAATCAAACCGGAATGAAAATTGAAATTGTCAACATGTTTACATGAGGCCGGTATGAAAATCACAAAATTTTCAATTTATTCCCCCTTGCCAGGTAATTTTATTTTTTAGATGGCTTTTTTTAGCATGTGTTGTTCACTTGTTCCAATGTCAAGGTTACAGCTGAGACTGGTCTGAAATGCATTTGTGTTTACATTCATTCCAGTCTGAATTCATGCTGGTCTGAAGTCAGTCGGCTTGGTCCAGCAGGCGGAATGACTTGAGACTTGGTCTGAGTTATTTTCGTCCCAGTCTCATTTAAACATCTATTATAAATAATACTATGACCGAAACAAAATGGTCCCAGTTTCACTTCGTTCCGGTCTCATGTAAACAGGGCGTAAGGAAATCCTTCAAAAGTTGACTAAATTTTTCCAAACCTTCAGTCAATATAGTGTTGTAGTACACCCATCTAAGGGTTCCTTTCACCTTGCCAAAACCTGTCATTAAATTATGGGTTGCCCGATATATAATTCCTCAAATCATGATTTTTGAAGTTAATTTGATAGACATTATCAATTGGGTGGACTATTGGGTCCTATTTCTCTGCTAATTTAGCCCTAATATTGTAGTCATTTTCAGGAAAGGAAGTGGAAAAAAGCACATACAATAGCAATTTTTCTTCAATTAATGGGCAACCACTTCTAAATAGCAAGGAAGCTGAATGACTGTAGGGGTATATGGATAGCTTTTTCATGGGCTCTGCTTTCTTCCGAGCTCGACACATTTTCACAGTCCAAGCGTTTGTATGTTAAAACTTATGTCGAGCCATTGCAAGTGAATTTAACAAAGGCCAGTAAACAAAATTGACAAAAATATACACGATAAGGTTGCACATTTCAGGTTGGAGTTTGGTACTATTTCAACTGTCAATTCGACATCAAACTTTGAAAGGTTCAAAACCTATCTGTCTCATGTTTGCTCACTCCATAATTTTGTCTATGCAAAGGTTTTCATCATAACAAATTATAATTTAGGTTTTGGAAATCATTGATTTTTTATCAGGAAGCAGTGTGCGCTGACACTCTCTTATAAGTCTATAATAAAATAACACCTGAAATATAGTTTTTCATTATTTAAATTTTAGCTTTAAGTTTCTTATAGCAGCTAAAAGTAGCAAAAACATACAAATTTTATAAAGCAATAGTTTGAGCTTATCTTCTAATGGGTCATATACGTGTTGCCATATATATTTGTTTACAATTAGCACTTCTTACCCCTCCCCCCCAAAGCCCACATCACGGATGGTCCCAAGAGATGTATTGCCGTTTCCACACCCTCTCTCCCTTCGCCCTGGCACAGGATTAGCATGCTTGCATGAATACATTCCAAGTTCACGCTAGAATGTGTGCCAAGCATGTCGCAGTCACACTCATAAAAGCATTGCATGCTTGTTTGGTGCTGTTGACAGATAGCTTATCTAAAATCTAACAAAAGTCTATTAAAGTAAATAACTGGGAATTTTGCATAGAGTTTCAGTTTGAAGCATTTAATTTGGCAAGATGGAGAACACTAATTCTTTGCTATTCCTTTATTTTCAATACCAAACAATGCATGCTTCTGCCAGACATAGATCTTTGTCCAGAAGGAGACGGTTGATTCTTCAAAACCTACGCTATTTTCAATACGTTCGAACAATAACATTAGAAATGATTATTGCGAGAATTGTTGGTCAGATATAAACCAGCGCCAATACTGGGAGCTTCCAAGACCACAACTGGGGTGGTTTGTTATATTTGGAGATGATCATCAATCAGGTTATTGCAAAGAACATTTTTGCACGTGTAAAGAAAATTCCTACAGCTAGTAGACATTGTGACCCCAGAAATCGCCAAGGAGAACACAATTTTGCAAGACGCTATCCCTCCACATAAGTGAGTTGCTATTGCATTATGGCAGCTTCCAGTGGCCTCAAGTTTTCGTGCTATCGCTGCTCATGTTGATGTTGGGAAGTCTACGTGTGTGATGATCACAAAGGAATTTTGCCAGGTCCTTAATAGATTATCGAGGCAATATAATAAATATCTCTGCAATTGTGATGAAACCACTGGAGCCTTAGCCTTATTTCAGGATGATTCCAGTTTCCTACATGTAGTTGGATCAATAGATGGAACGAGATGTGGGACATTGAAATCATTGCACCGAAAGAGCCTTTCGATTATTTCGATAGACATCATCGCTACAGCGTTATCGTGCAGGCAGTGCTAGTAAAAAATTTAACATTTTTCGACACTGCAATCAGTTATCCTGGCAGCATGCATGATGCACAAGTTTTAAGGTCCAGTGATATTTTCCAAAAGGCACAGAATGGCAATATTTTGGCTGAACCATTGGCAACAATCAATGAACTACAAGTTCAGCCTATGCTGCTCGGAGATGGGGCATATCCATTGCTTCCTTGGTTGATGAAGCCATACCCTAACAGTGCTATTCGTAATCGTTCTCAATGCCGGTTTAACAAGACCCTTTGTTCCGCTAGAGCTACGGTTGAATGGGAGTTTGGAATCCTTAAGGCAAGATGGAGAATACTGCTGAAAAGGCTGGACAATCGATTCGAAAATATTTCAGAAGTAATATTGTCATGCTGCGTACATAACTATTGCCAAGTAAATAATTATTATTAAAATTAGTTTTGAATATAATCCATAAACAGTTAACAGTCATGTATATCAATTAAATGTTTTGAAATGTATGTTATAAAAAATGTTTGTTCCCTTACACTGGTTAGCCTGCTCACAGCCTGAAATTTACAAAGGGGAAAATATTGAAATCTTTCCCGTTTTAAATTTCAGGTTGTGAGCAGGCTATTACACTGTCTACTTTTTCATTATTTCTGTCATTCTCAAGAAAACTCCTGATCTCTTCTGTGCCCTTCTTCGTTAAGCTTTCGCTGATCTGCTTCAAGCTTGACCAGTAAATCTTCTGCATGTTTCTGTGCCTTCTCCATCATTTCCATCTGGGAGTTCTGCATTCCCGCCAGCTTCTCCGTCAAATCGATCATCGCACTTGCAGTAGTTACTCTGCCTTTCTTCGCTTTCTTTTTCTGCTCCTCCTTTGTCTTTTTAATCTTTCGCTTTGGTTGTCGTTCCGCAGATCGATTCTTTCTTTCCACTCGTTGACAAGTATGCTGGTCTGCACCTCGCTCCACTTGTTTGACATTTTGGCGCCATTATTTGGATCGGTGTTAGTGTTGTTTTCAGATGTGGACGGAGCACTGGTACTGCAACTGGAGTTTTTGTGACCAGTAACGTCCGAGCTTGTGGACACAGATGAAGAGATATTTGTGGATGCACTTGGGAAATGCGCTCGTTGTGGTACGCAAGTGAAATACAGATAGTATTGAGCCTGTTCTTGTTTGGATTTAGAGGCATCACACGAGCAACATTTTCGTCCAAATGTAACAAGCTGAGCTAACACAACACACAACATGGTCTAGATCCAATTTAACTTTATTCATTTTCCGATTGCATATTTATATTCTCTATTTCTAGGGTGTTACCTTCCTTTAATTATTTAGAGAGCTATTTTTACTATATCACAGATGCAGCGTGCTAGTGGAGCATCCGCAGTTAATTATGACTTACTAATCTTATTTACACCTTATGATATCCATTATCAGATATCCATTACACTATCCTCCTCCTTCATGTTCTCATCCCGAGGACATATTTCTAGTCAAATCCATATCTCAATGGTGGATTATTATGTTGTCTTAGTCTGGCAGGTCGAACATGAGGAATACTGTCGATACTGTAACATCAACCACCTGGAACTCACCTACTTCCCTACTAGGGCAAACCAGTTCGCCCTCTTCAAAAGGGATATAACTGCATTTTAACTGGTCGTGATGAACAACCATTACCTTCCCTCCTGTAGAAACAATCCTATAGTCGATGCCAAACCG